AAGTTTACCGAGACTTTGGATTTCCATTCATTGTTGCACATTTCTCCTTGCCCATCCCTCGCCCCAATCTCTTCCCCCCAAGTCCACTCCACTTTGCTACCTTCGTTCTGGATTCCTGTCATAATCTTGGGCCTTTTTTTATTTCTCCTCATATATTATATTAGTTTCCTGGGGCTGCCTTGATTAGATATTACATATCACATTGCTTATAAGAACAGAAATTTATTGCCTCATAGTTCTAAGCCTAGAAGCCCAGAACCAACATTATCAGCTAGGCACTGATAAGCACACAGGTAATAACAAAAAGGTTGGCGGAGGCACCTCTAGACGGGCCTGGCATTCCACATCCTAATAAGGTCACAGCTGTGGAAACCCTATTATGAAGCAGTTCTGCTCTGTATACAATAGGCCACTGCAAGTTGGAATCAATAGCACCTAACAACAGTCGTTATGGAAGCGCATCTTCCACAGAGCTTCTAATTAGGTTTGAACTGCAATCTTTAGGTTAGTTGCCCACTCATTGCCATTTGGTTGGAACTGACTCAGGTGACTCTTCAGCATGTTTGCAGGAGACTATAAATTGAATGAGAGGAGACTGCCAATCTTTCATCTGTAGAGCTGTTAGTGGATTTGAACTGTAAGAGAGTTAACAGTACAACTACCTACAGATGACACCACCCTTTGGGGCTAGTAGTCAGAGACAAATCATTTATACTACCTTGATGGAGTCATCTCCGGACAACTCTTATAGCATAGTGTGTAACGTATTGGACTGCTATCCAAAAAAGTCAGTGGATCAAATACACCATCTACACTGCAGAAAGAAGAAAGATGGACCGTATCCTCCCGTAAAGATTTTTTGCCTCATAAACCCAATAGGGGGTTTCTATGAGTTGGAATCACCTTGACTGATAGCAGTGAGTTCCACATCCTTTCTTGTCTCTTTCAGCGTTGGTAGTCCCAGGGATGGGACTTTGGCTTATATCTACATGTGGCCATTGTACCTCTGCTTCTCTGTGTCTTCTCTTTGGTAAGCTTACTGCTTTTACTGGATTAAGATCTGCCCTACTTGGTCCAGTAAGACTTCACTTAACTTTAGTTAACGTCTTCAAAGATCCTATTTCTAAGCAAGGCTGCTTTTCACAAGTATAAGCATTCAACATAGCTTTAATATATCCCTTTGGAGTACACAGTTCAAAGGTACAAAGTGTTAAATATATTTCTTTGGAGTATAATCCATATAGTTGAACCCATAACACATCCCTTCTTGTCAGGCTGCTGTTAACTTCCTTCATGTGGTAATCTGTGACCTCTTAGAGAAATAGTTGTTGCTGTTATTAATTGCCGTTGAGTCAAGCACGACTCGTAGTGACTCTATGAACAAAAGACCTAATGCCTTTTCATAACTTTTGTCATTTCTCCAAGTTCTTAAGTTTGCAGAGGCATGTGTTTTAGGATGTGGATTCCACTCCTGCTTCCAAGCCATTTTTACAACTGGAAGCTCCACCAAACTCTGTCCACATTGGGAAAACATTCTGGTATTTGATACCCTAATGGCACAAGGTTCAGCATCACAGCAAACCCAGGTTACTTCATACAGCACATTGACAAAGAGTGATGTACAAAGTGGAAGAGTGTTCCTCTAGATATAACAGCACTAGTTTCACTTAGCAGTGGTTAAGTGTCATCAAGTCGAATATGACTGAGAGTAAGTTTTGCACAAAAGACCTGAACTCTGTTCTATAACTAACATCATTTCTATATAGAACTCTGTTCTATAACCAACATCTTTCCTGTACATTTAGAGAGTTTGTAGAGTTTGCGGAGGCATCTAGTTTAGGAAGTGGATGCCACTCCTGCTTCCCAGCATAAATCAATCTGTAAGCTCATCCAAACATTGTACATCATGGGTAACCATTATGGCATTTGACAAGACTATGGAACAGTAGAGAAATAGTAGACCCTGGATATCAGTTCAAGGAGTCCTGGTGCCACAATGGTGAAAGCACTTGGCATCTTTTGAAAGGTGATTCTGCAAGAGACAAATGTGGCTTCCGCTTCTGTAAAGAGTATTGGGCTTTTCTGATTTTAGACAACTAAAAGGGGCAACTCCAATTGTCCATTGGAATAAGAGTTTATAGAAATTATGATCTTCATCCCAGTGAAGTGCAGAATATCAAGGGTTTTAAAAGCTTGAGTGGAGAGGGTGGCCATCTATGGCACACCTCCAAGTCTGTGTTCTCCAGGAAAAAAAACATTAAAAATGTAACTATCAAAGATTACATTGCATTCTCACACAGTACAAGCTTTATAATGAGTGTTGTTGTTGTTGTTGATTGCTCATGAGCAAAAGGCCAGAAGCCCCTTTACGACTATCAACATTTATCAAAATTCATAGTTTCCAGAGGCATTTTAGGGAGTGGATGCCACTCTTATTTCCAAACCTGTCATAGTATGTTATTATTTTTATGTACCATTGAGTCACCTGTGATATATAGCAACCCTATGTACAGCAACTCTGAATACTTCCCTGTCCTGAGCCAATCTCACTAATTCTGACACATCAACCCCCATCACTCCAGTTACTGTATCAGACCATCTCATCCAGGGCTCCCTCTCCTGCACTGTCCGTGCACCCTTCAGAGCATGATGTCTTTCTCCAAGGACCAGTCTTGACTGCCCATGTGCCCAAAGTAAGTGAGGCAGAGCTTCAAAATCCTAACCTCCAAGGAGAGACTTTGTTTCACCCTCTCCAAGACAGACTGATTTATTTTCTTGGCAGTCCATGTTCAAGACTACTCCAGCATCACAACTCAAAGGCATCTATTCTTTATAGTGATTACCCCACGTGTGTTAAACTCAGTAGTTATAAAAGGATTAAGGCTGGGATCCAACACTCCCTAATCCTATTACAGCTCTGATCTGATAGAAAGGGTGTTCTCCTAAGGTGTGGTCTCTACTTGATTCCATCTCTGGTGGCCTAGTGGGTAAGGAATTGGGATGCTAACCCAAAATTGTAATCCCCAGTTGCTCTTCAGGAGAAAGATGGTCATTCTCCTCCTGTGTTATTTACAGCCTATGAAAACTTGCTGGAGGGTCAGCTCTGGGTCAGTTCTGACTCAATAGAATTGGAAGAGGGAAAAGGAGGAATAATAAGTGAGCTAGAATGGAGACCTCTTAGTACTACCAAGAAATTATTGTCTGGAGTGAAATTAATCTTTTTGGACCCAGGCCGCTGCATGACACTGGAAAAGCTAGAACACCTGGTGGTCCCCAGGGAATGCCTGGGCTACAGCTACTTAAGGAAGTAAGGATTTTCTACCACAACTGTGCTAGGGATTAGGGGGATAGGGGAACAGGTAGACTTCCCTTCTACCTCTGAGTCTGTAACCTGAACATGGACATCTAGTCTCCTATAAAGAAAATAAATTTTGGTTTGTTAACAAGCCTTCGGTTTGTGACATCTGTTATAGCCATTAGATATCTAAGATAGTACAGAAGCTCAAGGAAAAAATAAGTGTACACAAGCCACAGTGTCATCCACCCTGACACCAGAGCAAGATGGTGCTGGGCCACCACCACTAACCATTCTTACCAAAAGCCCAAGAGATGGCCCCAGGCAGACGGCTCCAGATAGAACTGAGAAAGATTATGGAGCAGAACGCAAATTCTTGAAAAAATGGGAAATAAATTAAAAAAAAAATTTAAAAAGCCAGACAAACTGTAACAGTAGAGAGGGACCCAGGAGATGTTTTTTAGACCTAGAGCTGAATTTATTGCCTAAGATCTTTTGTCAAAATAGCAGCGTGACACACAAAATAAGATTGATGCCCTACTTAAAAGCTATCAGTATGTGATTAAAAGGTCAGTGTTACTCAAATGCAATGATGAGAATTGAGAGAGCAGGGAATCTAGAGTGTTGGAAAGAGAACAGACTGAATGCAGTGCAGGAGAATGTTGACACATTGGGATAAATGTAACTGATACCACAATTTGTGTGGACATTGTCTAATAGGAAACCTAATTTGCTATGTAACCTTTAGCTAAAACCTCAGTACAGCACTACTTTTTTAAAGACATTAGCACTTGAAAACTCTACTATAAGGTTGTTAGGCATTATCATTGTCTTGAGGCATAGATACTGAGTGTCATTTCCAAGCTGCATGTTGTTATTTGCTGTCAAGTCATAACCACCTCATAGCTGACCCCCATGGAGGTTTCCAGAGGCAGTAAATCACAAGAGAGATTATTCATCTTTCTCTCATAGAGCAGCTGGTAGATTTGAACCACCTGCCTTAGGTCTGGCAACACAAATTCTTACCCTTAGGACACCCTCAACCATGTGGGTTTGCATGGTGACTGTGGCAATGAGCTTGCATATATAAGATTGTGAGGTTGGCATGGGATAGGACAGTGTTTCAGATAGTTGGGTCACCGTGAGTCGTACATCACCTAACAACAGTAGGCCACCAGCGTGCCCTCAAAGTAACATACAAAGTATCCAGTACTCTCAAAGCAGCATACAATCTAATGATAAAATCTTCCCTTTCAAAACAAAACAAAGTAGTACATGTTTAAACTAAGGGACAGCACATATCTTAAGTGTTAGTGCATAATTAAAGGGGGTAATTTTTTTTTAATTCCTTACGGTTACTACTTAAATTGTTCTTGTGTAATTCATCATGTTTTATACATCATCTTTTAAGATCATAAGAATCCTCCAGGGACATCACCATGTGGGTCTGTGGTCCATAGCAGGGAACCACCTGGCCTCCGTTCTTAGTGTTTTCATTTGTACAGATACTCATTATCTCAATTTAGCTCATTTAAGTGGAAACAGATCATGGATTATTATTGCTTACACCCAAAAGTTCTTTTAAGCCACTTTGTCTAACCCAGCTACATTCACATTTCTATTCAGCCAAAAAGCTGTCCACAATGTGTCTTGACAAACTATAGTTTCAGAGTCTTAACTAAGCCAACTTTTTCAATACTTGCAGGAACCCAACCATGAGGGTCAAGCAGGAGGTTTTGTGCGAGGGCCCCCCAGGTTGCCACCCAGGTAAGTATGTGTGAAACTTGGAAAAAATGAGTGATATGTCAGAGACCTGACTCCCTTTTTACTAAGACTGAGTTTTGGCCTTCAACTGTCGTCAAGTTAGAGTCCATTCATAACTGACGCTTCTTCCTTGCATTTCCAGGGCTGGTAAAATGCACAGGAGGAGATTGACCCCCTTTCTCCCATGGAGCTGACGGTGGATTCCAGCCCAGGGAGACGCCTAGCCTTTGGGTTAGCACCACAGCTCCCTGTGGACTTGCCACCAGAGCTAATGAGATAATTTAAACTATCAAATTTGCCCAGGTCTCTAGCCTAAAATCTACTCCTGATCACAGACAGGCTGTGGGATACTCAGATTCTTTTTCCTTTAACACAGTCCAGAAAGTCACAAAGCTCAAAAATCTGCATTTCAATTATCATCAAGTTTATTCCATTACACAGTGACCCACGTGCATCGGAAGAGAATGTGCCCCATAGAGTTTTCAGTGGCTGGTGGCTTTGGAAGTAGATCACCAGGCTTTTTCTCTGAGGCTCTTATGGGTAGATTCAAACCTGCAGCCTTTTGGTTCACATCTGAGATATTAACTCAGAATTGGAGCTGTACTAGTTTTTCTAAACAAACCAACAAGATTTAATCACAAAATTAAACCAACCCCATTTCTGAGATATCCACACATACACAGCCTCGCTCTACTTTATGAAAGGCCAGCCTGGCTGAGACATTCCCTATGGGAGATAGGCTTGCGAGCTCCGGAGACTTGCCCTCCTAAATTCCAGAGCTCCTAGAACAAAGGCTGTAATACTGTCAGAAGTGGTTACTGTGTTCCTTTTTGTAAATCATAGGGATTAAAGAAAGGCTGCCAAAGTAACAGGCTATTCCATATTCAGAACAAGCTTGCTTTATATTAATCTAAGTTAGGATTTTAATAGTAACGTCTTTAACATGACTATTGGGGGATTTTTATGTTCTTTTTCTAATCATGAACAAAACATATATGCCTTACATCTTAAAAGCTTTTCATCTCTGACTTTGGTAGAAAGTGCTTTGTTTCATGAAGTTGTCATGTGGGCTTAAGAATACATAGGACCTTCGAGAGTTCCTGATAGTAAATGCTTTTCTTTAACTAATGAATCTCTCCTGCCAGATAACGAGAAACTGCAATGTTTCCTCTCATAATACAATATTTAATACAGCAGCCATTTGCTCAAAAGTAGCATACTTTGCATGTCTCAGTAAATTCTATTCCACTAAGGGAATGCAAAGGGAGCTCTGGTCCCCTGGTGGGTAAGGAATTGTGCTGCCAACCCAAAAGTAGGTGGTTTGAATCCAGCAGCTGCTCTTCAGGGGAAGATGAAAAATCTTCTCTTGTGTAATTTATAGTCTCTGAAAATCCACTAGAGAGTCAGCCATGGGTTGGTTCAGACTTACTCATAATGAGTGAGTCAACAGAAAACTGAGAGTATGGAAGGGAGGGAGAGAGAGAAATAAAGGTCAGAACTACTAGGCAGAAGTGATTCACGGTCCCCACATTAACTTGCAGACCTGTAAATGGAAAAGTCGTACCAGCGCGACAGCCTTCTAAGGGTGCCCCAGAGAGACCACCTCCCCCAAAACTTTCTGCAGCCAGAACATCCTGTAAAAAACTGCCTTTCAATCGGTCCTCTTCTGACATGGATCTTCAGAAAAAACCGATGAATTTGACACCTGGACTCTCAAAAGCTAAGAGTCAAGTCTTTAGAAATCAAGATCCGGTGCTACCCCCTCGCCCTAAGCCAGGACACCCGCTCTACAGGAAGTATATGGTAAGTTGAGCTTTGAAAATATTCCTGGTCAAGAGGTTTGGTCAGAGTGTGTATAAGACGCAGGTATAACTTTCAAGGGGGTAAAAAAAAGAACAAACTGGGGAGGAGGGTAGAGAAAATAGTGCAACAATGAATGAATGAAAACCCAAAATCTCTGTAAATGTTCATTAAAATTAATAAAATTTAATAATTAAAAAAGAAAAATACAAAGCAAATATGAAATTGTCACTTTAGCAGCTTATAAGATTTTTATAGATAAATTGTACTCTAGATAAATTGACTATAATAAAAAATTATAATGTAGAATTTCATTAGGAGAAATAAAGGGAAGGGAAGCAGAGCATATAGCAATTGTAACCTTCTCTCTGGTTAAATCAAACAAAAACTCTGAAAAGTCTCACCCAATGGAGTATACTAATGGATGTAAGACTGACTAATATTGTAGTTTACTGTTGCTGCTTTGCCCATGAATAAAATTTGCAATGAAGTAGGAAGTTCTTATGAAGATGAATGGGTTTTCTTCATTTTCCCCTTTCTCAAGCCTAATTATCATGGTCCCTTTAATAGTTACCCGGTAGAAGTTTTCATCAATAATAGAGATAAGTTGAGATGTTAATTTTCTACTCCTTATTTTGTAGCCTTAAAGCTATGTCTTCATTTCCTACACTTAAAAATCCAGTTGATATGCTCTCTTTTTAGGTCAAGTTAACCCAGTGAAATAGAGAATAAATAAAAATGAGGAGGAGACAAATTTGTACTTTTTTAAACAACTGACTGGGCAAAAAAGCTCTTAAGAGGAGTTGGAGTTAAGCTCTGACACCACATTTTCCGCATTCTAAGTCTTCTGACCTACACTGATCAGGTAAAACCAACCATCTCAGGGAACCACCACACCTGACCAGGACAGGGTCTAAATATAAAAGGATTTCTTAATTTTTTTTTGCATTTTTTTAAATTTTATTTTTGTGTGAGTGTACCGTCAAATTAGATCTGACTGGTACAGGAGGAGATTGTCCCTCCTTGCCCGGCAGAGCATCTGGTGGATTCGAACCGTGCACCTCTGGGATTATAAAAGGATTTTTAAGGTGAGACTGAGCTGAGTGGACTGAAAAGTGGCAAGAGAGGCTTAATGAGATGCTTACTATCAGAGAGATTCCAGGAAGAAATAAGATTCAAGATAAATCGAGCAGGCAGTCAAGCACTAAAGGGAAGCTTTCTAAGGGCAGCAGTCCCCAAACCCTATATTAAAGACACACCTTGACATAATGAGATCAGGTGCTGAGCCCGTGCCCTTGTGATGCCCAAGGGACTTTTACATGCTCTGCCCTATAGAATGGAGAAAATTTGACTGAAGAGAATTTGATGCCATATTCAGCATTTGCTTAGACCCATGAGCTTGGAGCAGCACAACTTGTTAATTAAATAAAAAAGACCTACCTTTCAGAATCCAATGGCCTCAAATAAGAGGCTCTCAAGCAGGCCCTAATCAACTTTTTAATCACAAATGCCTGCCCACCAGGTCCTGATTGGTTAAAATCAGAGGCTTCCAGCCCACAACTGATTGGTAATTAAATCAAAAGGACCAGACAGCTCACACCTGATTGCCAATTAAATAAAAATGGCCTATCTTCCAGAACCCAACTGCTTCAAACAAGAGGCTTTTAGGCAGGCCCCAACCAATTAACACCTGATTGTTAATTAAATTAAAAAGACCAAATAGCCTTCAATATGGATTGCATCTCACTGTGAAGAAAACAAAGATTCTTACTATTGGAAAACATCATGATAGATGGGGAATAGATTGAAACTGTCAATAACTTCATCATACTTGGATCCACAATTAACACTTGGTACCATATTTCACTGGGAAAGTCTGCAGTTGAGGACTGAGGTATGTCTGATTAAGGCCATGGTCTTTCCAATCACTATGCATCTGAGAGCTGGACAATGAATAAGAATGACAGAAGAATTGATGCCTTTGAACTATGGTGTTGGAGAAGAGCACAGAACATGTCATGGACTGCCAAAAGAAAAAATTAATATGTCTTGAGAAAGGTGCATCCCAGAGTCTTCTTTGGAGGCAAAGATACAAAGGCTCATATACTTCAGACTTACTGCTAGGAGGGGCTATTCCTTGGAGAGGAACATGATGCTAAGAAATGTAGAGAGTCAGCAAAGGAGAGGAAGACCCTTGACCAGGTGGATTGACATGGTAACTGCTACAATGGGCTCTAATGTATCAGGTAGTGTGAGGATGGCACAGGATAGGCCAGGGTTCACATATATTGTCTATAGGGTTAAATATGCATCATACTCAATGGAACCTAATAACTGCAACAGTGAGTTTGGAGTCTCCATGCAAGTGGCAGGACCCCCACGCACCCCCAACTCCCAAGCTTGAGAAAGGCTGATAAAAGATTTTAGTTGCTGGAGGAGTTGCATTTTCAGACATGTGTGCCAGATCCCCAAATGATCTGCAATTGAGGAAGAGGTTATTTGATTGTGAGTAATCCTTTTATTGGTTTACATTTAAGCTGCCTGTGCCTCATGGAATTGCCAATGAAGATATTGTCTCGGAAAACCCCGGAGAACTGTCTTGTAAGGTAAAGCAGGGTTCTCTCTTTACTAACTAATGTTACCAGGGAAAAAAATACTGGCCTCTCTTCCTTCTATTACACGTTATTAAATGCTTTAGGCTCCAAAGATTAAAATGTGGGGAAAAGTAATAATGTTTTATTAAATAATAATTGCTTCAGAGAGTGGTATTGTACCTTACAGCGTGGGGATGTCCTTGTGATGCTGAAGCAGACTGAAAATAATTACTTGGAATGCCAAAAGGGAGAAGATACTGGCAGAGTTCACCTGTCTCAGCTGAAGATTATCACCCCACTTGATGAACATCTTCAATGCAGACCAAAAGTAAGGCATTAATATTGAACAGCACTCAGCTCACACAGGGTGGCACATTTCACAGAACTATTAATTACATCTCATCCTCAGGTTTTTATGAGTACATTTATTTGAACCAGAGTAAAAAAAAAAAATTATAGTTGCATTTTATTCCATTCTGAGAATAAATTACTTCTAAGCGACTTGCCACTGCCATACTAATCACTATGACACACAGAATGACTGTTCTGTTTTGCCTTCTTCGTTTCGTGCTGACTTATAGCAACCAGATACTCAGTCATTCATTTTCAACTGTGAAATCTGTTTATTTTTAAAAATAATGTAAACATGTTTACCAAAAGTGCCAGAGATTTCATTTCCTAGCGGAATGGATAATTATTTTTACAGGGAGCCCTCTAAGTGCTAAGTCTGCAGTAAAAAAACATACCCTCATAAGATTTAAATATAGTGTCAACCTACTTTCACCAAATATAGTTCATAAACTAATGAAATAATATGTAATCCCTCAAAATACAAGTCACAATTTGGCCTAACAGACTTGTGGCTCTGTGGAGGATATAACAATTACTGAAAGTCATCTGTTTAGCAAGAAAAATGCCATTGAAAAATATGCGGAGATAGAATTTTAAAAGAAGTTATCCAGTTAGATGTGTACTGTTGATTCGTTAGTGTAGCAAACATTAAAAATAATACCCACCAGTCATTTAGGCCAAGTGAAGTCATCTAGGTTGCCATTCATGCTAGTTTTTAGAAACGAAGACCAATTCTTTCTTCTTCAAAGACAGTTTATCTTTTGAAGTTAGCTATGAAACTAAGAATTGTTATTTTGGAGAGGAGAGCAGAGAAGATATGTTAAGCTAATTGCAGCTGGGATACTAAAAATTCTAACATTAGTTCACACAGGGAAATTTGTTCTCTTGCTCATTTTCTCTGCTTTGATATGGCGTTATCCACCTGTCATGGCTGCCCTTCCTCTTTCAAAACACACTGATGGGTAGCAGTGGGAGGTATATTGCCAAAAAGCTTTCCTTTGGATAAAATAGAAACTAAAAAGAAACCAGAAGTTACTCTTTTAAAGCAATCCAAAGGATTTGTATGGTTTTTCCTAATTTAAACATTACCATACTCCTCTTGCTCTGTAAACCTACAAAGAGTTTGCCTGCAATGACTGACTCACCACGGTAGAGATGTGAAGCCTCTGTCAGCCATCTGGGCTGGTGGCAACTGTGATCTTTTTTGAGGGGAGGGAGTTTGAAACTTACTTATCTGAAAGCCTAGTTTTTTGTTTTATGGGAGTTACGGTGGTGTAGACCATGGCAAGTTACGCTGCAGAGAATATTGGTCATTGTCAACTGAGGTTGCATTTGTCAAATGATGGAAAAAAGAGGGAAATTATTGTCTCATGCATGGTGAAGCGCACATACGTGGGTTTCAGAGAGCTGGATTTGAGTTCCTCTTCCACCACCTTGTTGTTGTTATGTGTTGTTGAGTCAGAACTGACTCATAGCTGACCCTCTAATGAGTTTTTCAGAGATACTAAATTTCATGGGAGGAGATTGTGCAGCTTTCTTCCTCAGAGAAACTGGTGGATTCAAACTGCTTGCCTTTGCGGTTCACAGCACAACTCGAACCCCTTACCCATTAGGCCACCAGAGCTTCCTTAGGCAGTTACTTAACTGCTCAATAAAATATACTTTTTACTACTGTTTTTAAAGTGTGTGTGTGTGTGTGTGTGTGTGTGTTCACATAACAGTTACCAATTCAATGCTTACCATGTGTACCATTTCTCTCAAACTCAATTCTCATTTCTGTCAAGTCGGAACCAACTGATAGCTGACCCCCCATTGGATTTTCAGAGGCTGTAAATCACATGGGAGGAAACTGCCCATCTTTCTCTCTCAGAGTCATTAGTGGATTCAAAGCACCAAAGGGGCTTGGCCTTTGGATGAGCAACACAACTCCCTACTTATTATACCACCAGAGCCCCCTTATGTACAGTTTAGTGGCATGAATTACATCAGTCATGCGCAACCCTTACTTGTAGTCACCGCCAGATTTTCCTTCAGCACAAACAGTAACACATTGCTTCTTAATTAAAGCTTTCAACCCTTTCCTCCTTCAGCCCCTGGTAACCACTAGTAAACATCAGTCCAGTCTTTGTACATTTCTGATTCTGGGCATCTTTTAAAAAAAAAATACACATTTTTGTGTGTGTATGACACTTTATTTCATTTTATTTTTAATTGTTGTTGTGTACTTTTAAGTCAGATCCAGATTGCCCATCCTTCTCCAGCGGAGCATCTGGTGGATTCGAACTGTGCACCTTTGGGATTGTAGCACAGCTTCCTGCCACTAGGCCACCAGAGCTCCTATTCTGGATATCTTAAGTGAGAGTGATCATACTGGTCATCCTCCTTTGATCAACTTGCTTCACTTGGCGTAATGTTTCAAGGCTCATCCTTGTTATAAGGACTCAGTCCATGTCTCCATGGCAGATTAACATTCCCTTAAATATATGTACCACATTTATAAACCTCATCTTTTTAATGTATGAAATGGTTAGAATAACTCTTCACAGAGTAGTTTTTTTTTTAATCAAATATCATGTTGTGTGATTCCGTTTATGAAAAGTCTAGATACATAAACCCATTGAACAGAAGAAAGTAGACTATTGGTTGCCTGGACCTGGGGCTGGGACTGGAAATTACTTCTTTCTTTTTTTTTTAATTTTTTTAATTTTTATTATTTTTGTTTGAGTGTACCATCAAATCAGATCTGACTGGTACAGGAGGAAATTGTCCCTCCTTCCCTGGCAGAGCTTCTGGTGGATTCGAACCGTGCGCCTCTGGGATTGTAGTTGCAGCTCCTTGCCACTAGGCCACCAGAACTCCCCTGGAAATTACTTCTTATGGGTACAAGGTTACTCTTGGGATGATGAAAGATTCTTAACTTAGATTATGTTGATAGGTTCACAACTCTGTGAATGTGCTAAAATCATTGAATTGTACACTTATAAATGGGTGAATTTTATGGGATGTGAATTATACCCCAATAAAAATGTTTTAAAAATTAAATGAACTAATGTATGAAGGAATTTAAAATAGTCACACATAGCTAATGAACAATAAATATCAGCTGTTAGGATGACCCATTTGTACTAGCAATTTGGAAAGAGGTTTGAAATATTAGCTATCCACCCTGGAGGTGTAGACTGAGTCATACTGCCCTCTTGTGGCCAAGGCTGTCTATCCTCTCCTGTCCCCCTCAGCTTGTATCTGCCAGCCACACGGGTGAGAGTGATGGCTGGAGGTAGCTGTGCATGAAGGCAGAGAAGGGAAGCTGTAACTGGGGGACATGGGTCACCATCCCCTGCTTTTATTGATTATGCTTAGATCCTTAACCCTTCTGGAATTTGTGTTTGGATTTGAGGTAAGGTCTCTTGTTTTAGTTATTTCCCAAGTGGATAGCTGTCTATCCTAACATCCTAATAAAATGTATTATAAGTTATTCCTTCTCCACAGATGAGTAAATCAGAAAATAGTAACATCACCCATCTAGTGCATTATATAAGTAATAATTTGTGTCACATATCTCACAATTCGTTTCCACATTTCGCAGAATTCTCTCATTTATTTAATTTGAAAATACTAGCCAACCCTAGGAAAATGTCTGTGCTACCTTGATGCCATCATTTCCTAGGACTGCTATAATGAGATACCACAAAGATGGTGGTTTTGAAGAACAGAAATGTATTTTCTCACAGTTGTGTAGACTGGAAGTAAAATTGGAGGGCCATGTGCCTAGTCATTCAGAGAAGATCCTCCTTTTACTCTTCTGGCTTCTGGTGACTCTGGGCATCGCTTGGCATTCCGTACGTGGAAATGTATTTGCAATGCTTCCTCCCCTGTGTGATTCGGTTTCTATGTCTACTCTTTTTATGAAACACTGGTCACATAGGAATAGAACTTACCCTACTCTCCTGAGGCTTAATTAGCATCGCTGGTAACACCTTCAGAGAAAAACCCTATATCCCCAAACAAGGTTGCATGCACAGACTAGGACTTCAGCTTATCTTTTTTGGGGGGCCTGATTTAATTAAATCAGTAGCATTTTGTAAGCTAATGTATTTCAAGCTGCAAACTTTTGCAAGCTGCCATGTATTTCAGCTTCTCTAACTTGAGGGAATAGGGAATTAGGGTGATATGGCAGGGAATACTGGCAGAATTGTATTTGGTAACAAATTACACTGCAAACTCAGAAGCAGCACCTGTCTGGGAGTTTAAATCCAAAAGTGTCTCCACAGGAGAAAATCTCCTCCCCTGTGATTTACTGCCTCCAAAAAGCCACTGGAGGGTCGGCCATGAGTCAATTCTCACTCAGCCGCATGAGTTGAATGTGAGGCAAGGCAGAGGGCCTGCACAGGTCCATTTCAACTGAAAGAGCTGGTGAGATTCGGAAATATCCTGAGCCTTCAAGGTATTGTGAGTGGACATGATGAAATGGACCGTCTTCCGCTGTAGGATCTGATGAGAGAGCATCATGGCCAGGAGAAGGGACAGAGAAATAGATACATGAGATATTCCGTAAGGGACAGGAGTCATTGAAAGAGATGAAGGACTACAACAATGGGCTTCCATTTCTTTTTTTCCACAGGTTTACCAGAGTCTAAGAGTTTTAAGTTATAACTCTAAATACTGTCAGATATGATGGTTATGATAGCTGTGTGAATTCTTGTCAATTCATAGAGACACTCAGAATAACAACTGCCTTCAGTTAAAAAGGGTTCCTCTTCAAATTTACCGTTTTGTGTAGCCAATCTAGGCAGTTGCCTAGATTGGGTACAGAAAATTGAATTCTCTTTGCTAATTTACTTAGAATTGCTGCTGAATAAACCATTTGGATTAAATAGAAAATGCAGACCAGGAATGGGAGGTAGTGTTGCTTTCAAATTAGAGAAGACATTCAGTTAAGTAGTAGTAAATGAAATGCTTTTTACTTTTGGGGAATTATCCTTTTGTGGAAACTCACTGATTCCTTTTATTGCAAAAAGCAGAAGACATAAATCGCAGGACTCTCTTCTTTTCCCATCCTAACAGAGACAAAACTTTTAAGACTCTGTCCTCTAGCTCTCATCAGTTTAAGGGAAAAGCCACCCTTGATATGGATAAAGAGTCGATACCCACTGCTTCAAGGTACACTGTCTTCGAGTTGATTTCAACTCATGTTGATGAGCCTGGAAATCTTTATGTGAGGAGACACCCAAGGGGCTGGTGCATTTGACCTCTGACCTTTCACTTAGGTGCCAGACATGCTATCTACTATGCCACCAGGGCTCCTTCAAGATAGACTCAACTCAACTCATTGTCATCGTGTTGGAACCAACTCATAGCTGACCCTCCAGTGGCTTTTCAGAGTCTTTAAATCACAACACAGAAGATTGCCCATCTTTCTCCCAAGCAACAATGAGTGGATTTGAATCACCTAACTTTGAGTGGGCAGCACAACTCTCAACTCACTAGACCACCGGAGCTTCCGAGTGGGTAGAATAGATGTTGTTAATTGTTTGTTGTTTGGGTTTTTTTAAAGCAAGACTCTTGTTTTACTTTTTTGGATTAAGAAATAAAATACAAACAAGAAAACCGTGATGACATTCTTGACTAGTTACTTCTGCCTTCACTTGGCAAGGACACATTCCTTAACACGTTGCCACAGATGACGGCAAATGTGTTTCT